GAAGTAAAATGATCTCCAGGGCAGTGCAAGTTTGTATGTTTATTGAAACAACTGGCAACCCCTAAGCCAGCCCAGTGACGTCATTTCCAGAGACCAATCCTCTGAGTTTTTGAAGGTGCCCACCAGACCAGCTTCAAAGACATCGCAAACAACACGGTAGACCCCATCCTCAACTCTGATTTCCCCAGCTGCCAAGACTGAGGGCACATTGAGAGATGTGGCCAGCTTGAAGACCTGGAAATTGGAAAACTCCAGAGGATCACTTGCATGACGTCCCATGTTCCGCAACTTCTTGGCACTTGCAGGAATTGTGGCTGACAGGGACAGCCCCAGCTTCCGAGCTGCCAGCTTGATGGAAGATGTCACTGCTTTCAACGGTGTTTCGGCAAAGAAAAACTCCAAAGTGTGGCTTCCCCCCCCTTCTCTCACCACTTCCTCTACCAAGCGATCCCAAGTCTGGGATGGGCAAGCTGCATAGCCCAGGATGGTTAGGGCAGTTTTGCCGCCAGCAGCCATGGTGCAAAATGTTCAAGGCTGGGTCACAACAAAACGGCTGCAGAAGAAAAAACATGCAATCACAATGCGCAGGACGTGCCGAAGATACAGTACCCAAGACTGATTGAAGGATTCAAGGACAGTCCTGTTTTTTTGGCCCAATGTCTGGTGCCCAGTGCCCTGCAGCCTGGCATTGAGTACAGTATACCATGGTGCCCATGTCACAAAGACTGCAGGCTGAATACTATAAATTTGCAATTGAACAGCTGGCCTCATACAACAACTCATAAAGCCACACCCCTCCTGCAAAAAGGCCAAGAATATTCAAATTAGCGTGAAAGCAACGCTACAGCTATGCCATATAGAATGATGGGTTTGACTGCACCTCCTGGCCAAAGCAGCATGGACCCGTGGATTGAGGTCTGGAACTTCAACAGCATACCAATTATCTCAGCAATCAAAGAACTCCACGGAAGTCTGCACACAATTGACTGGAAGCTGAGGCACTCCGCTTGCGAAACAGGAAGTTCCTGAGC